CAAAGCAGTACTTAGGCGTGGGAAGGCAGGTGCTCAGTTTCTGATGCCGGCTCCTTTCTCTTGATGCTCCCACTCTGCCGCCACCATCTGCTTTTACCTCCACCAGTATTCTGTATCTGTGTGTATTTTGCAATCTTGGTCTGAAACCCAGCAGGAGTAAAAGCAACTTGGTGGGAATGTCTGGTGGAAAGAAAACTGTACAGCTAGGGAAAGCTTTCCAAGAATAAAAAGCATTAGCTTTTTAGGATACCGATCTTATGTATGACAAGATGGTGAAAAAGGAATTCAAGGGCATTAATTAATACATGTGTCCTGTGGCTTTTGCTTTCATATTAACTTGGAGATGAATGGAGAAAGGATGTCTGGGATCCTCGTATGGTTGGAATGAATTTATAAAATGGATGGAACCAACCCTTGCGTTTCTGCTCTGGAAAAGTCATTTTTTTCCCCTGGAATTGATTGGAACCTACAAGGCTCACACTTCTGTTTAATTTCCTCCTTGGAATCTGTAAGACCTTTATAGCCACTAGTGTGTCCTACATAACTTCTGCAAAATAGGTGGCATGTTCACATCCCTATAATTTTGTAGGCTCTTCAGTATTAATAAATAACTAAATATATCCAAGCTTTGCTCCCTCCTTCTTGTTTGCCATAGTTCCCTGGCTGTGCTGGAAATACCCTTAATCTTTATAAATCTTAATAAGTTCAGGATATGACATCATGGGATAGGTTTGTGAGGAAGAAATCTCTAAAAACCTGCTACAGAATCCATTAAATATTAAAATCTAGACCCTATTTATTCATAGGCAAAGCGACAGTGTTTACAAATAGACAACAAGGATTACAATGCTAAACAGAGCCAGGAACAAAAGAAACTTACCATTTTATTTATTTATTTATTTATTAAAACATTTTTATGCCGCCCCATTTGCCGAAGCCTTGGGGCGGCTCACAACATTAAATTAAAATACAAACATTAAGTTATAACATTAAGTTAAAACGTTTGTAAGATGCAAACATTAAGTTAAAATATAAAAAATAACAATATAAAATAAGTCGCCCTGGCCAGATAAAATCCAATAATATTAACAGTTAAAATGACACTTAAATAAAAGGTTTTTCCTGGCCCCGAAAAACAAATAACGACGGCGCCAGGCGGACCTCTCTGGGGAGCGCATTCCATAACTTAGGCGCCACCGCAGAGAAAGCCCTTCTCCGAGTACCCACCCTCCTGATTTCTTTCACAGAGGGTTCCCGGAGAAGGGCCTCTCCCGCAGATCTCAAGGGGCGGGCAGGCATATATGGATGTAAACGCTCCTTCAGGTAACCAGGCCCCAAGCTGTTTAAGGCTTTATAGGTCATCACCAACACCTTGAATTGGGCCCGGACTTCAATGGGAAGCCAGTGAAGCTGACGGAGAACTGGAGTCATGTGAACATAACGCCCAGTCCCCGTCAGCAGCCTGGCAGCTCTATTTTGAACCAGTTGAAGTATCCGGACCGTCTTCAAGGGTAGCCCCACGTAGAGCGCGTTGCAGAAGTCAAGGCGGGAAGTCACCAGCGCTTGTGTCACTGTCGCCAGACAGTCGTACTCCAGGTAGGGGCGCAGCTGATGAATCAGCCGAAGCTGAAGGAAAGCGCTCCTTGCCACTGCTGTCACCTGAGCTTCCAGTGAAAGCTCCAGGTCAAGGAGCACTCCCAGGCTGTGGACCTTGTCCCTAAGAGGGAGTGTAACCCCATTCAGGACTAGGTTCAATTCACCCTCTCCGAAGCCCGATCCACCAACCAACAGGACCTCCGTCTTGTCTGGATTGAGCTTCAGTTTATTGGCCCTCATCCAGCCCATTACCTCGGCCAGGCACCAGTTCAGTACAGCCGCTGCTTCACCTGGATTGGTGGAAAACGAGAGGTAGAGCTGGGTATCATCAGCGTACTGATGATTCCGTAGCCCACACCTCCTGATGACCTCTCCCAGCGGTTTCATGTAGATGTTGAACAGCAAAGGGGACAAAATGGACCCCTGCGGTACTCCATGGCATAGCTCGTACTCGTCCAAGCACCTTGTCCACATCATCGGGCCGCAATAACTGAAATTCATCCAATAATTCTGGACCAGACGGCAGCATTGGTGTCTCCCCAAAAACCTCTGATTCACTAGTGGTGTCCAGCTCGTGACGAATCTGAGCGATTTTCTCCCTGAAATGCCTGGCAAAGTCGTCACAGCGGGCCTTTGAGGGTGGAATAAGGTCTTCCTTAGGACCTGGATGAACCAGGCCTTGCACCACTTGAAAAAGCTCCACCAGACGACATTGTGAGGAGGCAATGGAAGCGGAAAAAAACCTCTTTTTTGCCGCCCTCACCGCCACAGCATAGGCCCGATAGTGGGCTCTCAAGTGTGTTCAGATTCATCCCGTGATTTCCTCCACCTACACTCTAGCCATCACCCAGCCTGCTTCATCGCCCTTAATTCAGGTGTATACCAGGGGGAAGAGTGGGCTCTGCCTGGTGGGAGAGGACGCTTAGGAGCGATCGTGTCTACAGCCCTGGTCATCTCCCCGTTCCACAGTTCGACCAGAGCCTCGACAGGAGCACCCATCTTGTCAGCCGGAAACTCCCCCAGGGCCTTCAGGAATCCATCCGGATCCATCCGGCTCCGGGGGCGGACCCACACAATCGGACCCACTATAATAACGACATACACGGACACTGGAATCATTTAAAGCAGGGGTGGAGAACAGTTCGCAGGTGCAGGCCAGTGTTTTTCAACACTTTTTCAAGGAGTGTTACCAGGCCTCTGACACAGCTGGTCCTCAGATGGGGTGCAAGGTGGTGCTTCCCTGCACAGGGCACAATGAAGGAGTGTGCCTGAGGCAGCAGCTGGAGGAGTGTGCCAACTGTTTTGGCGACAGGGGGGACTTCACCTCCATCATGTCCTCCTCAAATGGGAAGGCACAATGCAGGCAAAGTTGCCCTGACTGAAGTGGAAGGCTGGATGAGTGCTCTGGTGGCCACCTTGGTTGAGGTCCTTTTGCATCCAAGGCAATGCATCGTCTCCTCTGGGGGAAGGCACAGTGCAGAAAAGTCCACCAGGCAGCACAACACATATTGTCCCCATCTGGTTGGTACACAAATGGATTCAGCAAGCCTGGAAGGAGAGGATGGCCCTATGAGACCTGCCCCCTAGAGCAGTGGGGTTGAACCTATGACACGTGTGCCACAGCGGAAACGCAGAGCCCTCTCTCTCGGCATGTGAGCTGATTCGGCCCCGCGTGACACCAGCAGCCGAGCATTGCATAACAGTGCATGGAGAGGCCATAAGCAGGCTCAGAAAGGAGAAGAGGTGCTAGTTGATGATGCCACGAGGCACTCAGCGCTCTGCCAAGGGGGGATATATATATATATGTGTGTGTGTGTGTGTGCGCGCGCGCGCGCGCGTGCATAGACTGGCTGTGAGATGTTCATTCAAAACTAAAACCAGTTTTCAGGTATTATTGAGTAGGCACTTTGCAATGAATTAGTGGGTTTTGGGTTGAAGTTAGGGCACTCTCAAAAAAGTAAACCATCTGTGCAGAAAAAGGTTCTCAAGGAAGGCCTTTTCAAGATCTCCCTATTTTCAATGGAAGTTTCCCATATATTAGGGTTCGAAGTGTGCACCAGGGTAGGGTTAGGGTTAAGGAAACGTGGTATCCTGGCATGATTTTGATGGTTGCACCGTTTTTAGAATGGGCCAAACTGTGGAGATGTGCAGAAAGATGTACTCAAGGATGGCCTTTTCAAAATCGCCCTACTTTCAAGGGAAACTTCACCTATATTATGGTTAGGAGAGTGCACAAGGGTAGGGTTAAGGTTAGGAAAACGTGGTGTCCTAGCATGATTTGGATGGTTGCAAAGTGTTTAAAATGGGAACATATGTTGAGCTGTACAGAAAAAGCAAGTCAGAAAAAGATTTTTCAAGGTTGCACGATTTTCAATGGAACTTTCCCCTATATTAGGGTTAAGAGTGTGTGCCAGGGTAAGGTTTGGCTAATGGAAACGTGGTGTCCTGGCATGATTTTGATTGTTGGAAAGTGTTTCAAATGGGCCAAAATGTTGAGCTGTGCAGAAAAGGCAACCTAACGAAAGACTTTTCAAAATTGCCCAATTTGAAGTGGAAGCGCCCCTATCTTAGGGTTACAAATGTGCACCAGGTTAGGGTTAGGGTTCAGGAAATGTGGTGTCCTGGCATGACTTTGATGGTTACAATGTGTTTAGAATGGGCTAAAATGTTGAGCAGTGCAGAAAAATGTACTCAGGAAGGACTTTTCAAAATCGCCCTATTTTCAATATAGCTTTCCCCTATATTAGTGTTAGGAGTGTGAACCAGGGTAGGGTTAGAGTGAGGAAAACATGCTGTCCTGGCATGATTTCGATGCTTGGAATGTGTTTACAATGGGAAGATAAGTTGAGCTGTGCAGAAAACGCAAACCAAGGAAAGGCTTTCCAAAATTGCACAATTTTCAGTGGAAGTGTCCCCTATCTTGGGGTTCGAAATGTGCACCAGGGTAGGGTTAGGATTCAGGAAACGTGGTCTCCTGGCTTGATTTTGGTGGTTGGAATATGTTTGGAATGGGCCGAAATGTTGAGCTGTGCAGAAAGATGTACTCAAGAAGGAATTTTAAAATTCTCCCTATTTTCAATACAGGTTTCCCCTATATTAGGGTTAGGAGTGTGCACCAGGGAAGGGTTAGGGTTAGGAAAACATGCTGTCCTGGCATGATTTTGATGGTGGAAATGTTTTTAGAATGGGCCAAAATGTTGAGCTGTGCAGAAAACGCAACCCAACGAAAGTCTTTTCAAAATTGCACAATTTTCAGCGGAAGCGTCCTGGCATGCTTTTGATTGTTGGAGTGTGTTTAGCATGGGCAGAAAAGATGATGTGCGCAGAAAGATCCACTCAAGGAAGGGTTTTTCAAAATTGCCATCTTTTGAATGGAAGCTTACCCAGAAATTAGGGTTAGGTATATGCACCAGGTGAGGGTTAGGGTTAAGAAAACATGCTGTCCTGGCATGATTTTGATGGTGGAAATGTTTTTAGAATGGGCCAAAATGTTGAGCTGTGCAGAAAACGCAACCCAACGAAAGTCTTTTCAAAATTGCACAATTTTCAGCGGAAGATTCCCCGATATTAGGGTTAGAAATGTGCACCAGGGTAGGGTTGGGGTTCAGGAAATGTGGTATCTTGGCATGATTTTAATGGTTACAACATGTTTAGAATTGGCTAAATTGTTGAGCTGTGCAGAAAGACGTACTCAAGGAAGGACATTTCAAAATCGCCCTATTTTCAATATAGGTCTCCCCTGTATTAGTGTTAGGAGTGTGCACCAGGGTAGGGTTAGGGTTAGGAAAACATGCTGTCCTGGCATGATTTCGATGCTTGGAATGTGTTTACAATGGGAAGATAAGTTGAGCTGTGCAGAAAACGCAAACCAAGGAAAGACTTTCCAAAATTGCACAACGATCAGCAGAAGATTCCCCTATATTAGCGTTAGAAATCAGCAGCAGGGTAGGGTTAAGGTTCAGGAAACGTGGTGTCCTGGCTGGATTTTGATGGTTGCAATGTGTTTAGAATGGGCCAAAATATTGAGTTGTGCAGAAAAGGCAACCCAACGAAAATCTTTTCAAAATTGCACAATTTTCAGTGGAAGCATCCCCTATATTAGGTTGAAATTTTTTATTTAAATAAAAACATACTACAACAGTACAAAAAGGCCCAAAAATTGCAACATTACAAAAATAGAAAATACCCCATCCGTTATTTACATCCTTACAAAATGCCAAATGTACACACATTTACAAGATCCCAGGCTTTACACATCAAATGTACAAAAGAACTTTGTATAGACTTCTCCTGATAGGTTCATGCCATGTGTCTGGGCAACATGTATGAGTGATTCACGGACATTACGTTATCGGGGCATGAGCCCCACTCAACCACGGCCATAATTTCCTCCACCGACTGGGCGGCATCCTCCCTTTTTCCTCGCGGCTCAACCAAAAAATCTNTTTGCGAGTCTTCAGTGAGAAGGGAGAAAATATTTATTGATGTTATTTATAGCTTGCTTTTTTTTCCTGCTAGGAATCCAAGGCAGCTCACAAGGTTCTCCCCCTCTGCATTTTTTGTCATATAACAACTCTAGGTTTTATTTCCCTCTGTAGTGATTTGGAAACTTTTCCAGAGCCGAAAGAGCAGCCGGAGAACAGTGCTTTTGGTTGGTCTCTGTGAGTCGGGTAAAACTCTTCTGTTTGTTAGGGTATGTGAATTCTTCTAAAAGTGTATTATCATTGTCATTCCATATTGTTAGAAGGGAGAGCTCCTTATTTCAATCTGTTCTTGTTTTTAAAAGAACTTTGAGATGTAAGGTTTGAAATAAAACCTCTTACTTACATATTAAGTATTTTGGCCCTTCATTTATACATGTGAAAATGGGAACATGCAGTATAAATTCTGCAGTTTAGTTAGTTTTATATTTACTTCAGTAACAGGTAACATATATTAAATGTTCCTCTTGCAAAAATATTTGTCAAAAGTGTTCCTCATCCTAGAGAGATGATTGGTGATGTTGCTTTGTGAAAGAGTTTTGTTAAATTAAGAGGCTAATTTAAATTCAAGAGAGAATTATTTAAAATAAAACGTATTTTTCTAATGTTTTCCTAGGGTTGAGACTAGTGAAAGTCATTTTTTATAGTCTGGGGTATTTCACTTTTCCGCTTTCTTCTAATTTTTATAGCTGTTAACAGGAAATTTCCAAAGTACACAGACTTCCATAACAGATAATTCTGCATTGTACAGAGTAAAAAATGACAAGGTAAGAATGGAGGTGTCATGTCTATAATATGTTCCATAATATGCTTGTGATGTTTTGGGTTATTTTTTGTCCAAATAATTCATATTGTGTTAAGAAGAAGCTCTAGTCTCACCCTGTGTAAGCTGTATTTATAGGACCTAAGCTTAATTTTGCTTAGTATTTTCCCTGAAAAGATGAAAATGAACTTCCACCCACAATTGCTTTTTGGATCCACCTCCTTGCTCTCTCTGTAGCCCTTGGTGACGTGCTTGGCCTTTGCTTTAGATGCCAGACTTTTCTAAACCTCCCAGTCCACCCCAGTACTTCCTAGGTCCTGGCATACAGGTTACAAATGCTCTTTGACAACCATGTTAAATAGCTGTCACATTCCTGGGGATATCTAGGTGCATTACTGAAGAGAAAACAAAAGGGTTCAACAGCATTTGACGAGTATCTTCTCCGGTAGATGAAACTCTGCAGGTATGAAAGTGAGAGGATCTTGCTGAAATTATTTTAAAACTAAAATATCAGCTGTCTCACTTGTCATATTATTAGTATTTGAGGGAGGTGCCTGTTTGCGAATATGACCTGTACTGAGCTATGGAATTTGAATATTTTCATTATTTAGAACAACTTCTGATAGCATACATAACTTAAAAGAAGACTTTTCTGGATTCAGAATTAAAGGATAGTTAAGTCAGTGCTCCCAGTTTGCTCAGATTCTTCCCTTCTTTCAAGATAATTTTCATTGTTCAATCTGCTTTCCTTTGCTTTTTGGCCCTGTTCAGATGGTCATCTAATTTATAGTTTATAGGAGCAAGACTTAGGAAGAAAACTTAGACAGCAGGTATAATCCTGGTTTGTTTTCATTAACTAGAGTTAGAATAAAGTCTGATTTGCCAAATTCATACATAATGGATTTTGCATGTGGTAAACCAAAACCGGAAGTTGAAGTTTTCATTCTCCTTCTGCACATAAGAAAGATAGGGGATGGAGAGTATGTAATTATGACACTTGTTTCAGCCTGATCCCACGCATATATGCCTTGCTTTAGATTATCTGAATGGGATCTTACAGTTTAATTACTACAACCCTTTTAAAGTTATATCCAGCATGCTTATACTTGATGGATAACCATGTATAGTAATTTTTATATAAATATGTTAACACAAAATGCATGAAATAAACAGTATGATAAACAGTATGATAGTTTCTTAATATTTCTCATTCATATTATGGTAAAAATAGGCCACTAATACGATCAGTTCATACTTTCCTTTGATCACAACAGGAACAGCAGCATACATGACCGGTTTCATAGAAATGGTACCTCTGACTGGGGCTGTTATATACAACCACTATGATTTTTCCTATTGGTGCTTTGTCAGACCCTTAAATTGCTGAATATACAAGTGTTCCACCCCTCTAGAAGCCCCAGTTTGCATAAATAGTGGTCCAGTCATGAACCCATCATTGGTTTCACCTTTGTTTTGGACCACTGGCAAAGTCTGTTCCACAAATCCTATAGGTGAAAAGGCTAAGTATTTTCTGCAGAGCTGTGGAAGATAACCCTTGTTTCCTTAGTTTTCTTTAGAATACAGAAGGCTGTCTGACCTTCATTTGAAAAGAACTATTTTTGTCTTGTTAGATGTTTATCAAAATATTTACTGTTGTTTTTTTCCCCCTTTTCTACAGAACACACACATAACTTTGACTGACCTTCCAGGGCATGAGAGCTTGCGACTTCAGTTTTTGGATAGGTTCAAGGCTGCTGCTAGGTAAATATGGGAGGATGAGCTATTTGTTTCCTTTCAGACTGTAACAAAAGAGAGCACTAGTGAATTTGGACCATCATATAGGACTCCTGTAAATAAATTTAGGCATCTAAATGAAGAGATTTGTGGTGATCATTTATTAGGCTTCCTTATGCTTCATTTATATAATAAATGAAGGCAGTCAGACAGGGAATATCTGGTAGAAGCTTTTCTGGAGGGACATCACATTACATGAAGATTTAATTTTAAATCAATGGGGAGCAACCTGTGGTAATAGGGCTCCTTGTGGTCCTGAGATTACTTCTCAGGTGCCTTCTGTAAATGATCAGTTCTGGTGTTTGGAAAGTGAGATCTGCCCTCCTCTGGCAGCATACTTGGTGGAGAGGAAGGAGGGAAGGCAACAGGAAAAGAAAGGCAGTTACCTTGCCAAGTTTTGGCTGTATGCTTGTCCACTGGTTGCTTTGGTCCATTCACCATTGGCTTTTGGCCTATAACAGATTACTTATGAGGCAATGTGACATATGACCTCCTTGTCTGAATTCCCTGTAACCACTATTCATGTTTCTTTCCCTTGTCTTTACAAAACATCTAAAAGTGGGGTTTGGGATGCGAAACCAGGCAAGTCATTATATCTGCATTGCTTCTCCACAGGCTGAATCCAGTGAGTGTGGAGGAATTGGTGCCAGTTTTTCAAGCCCATGGCAGCTAGAGATAACATATGGATAACTATTTTTGTTCCCAGACAAAGTGCAGCTAAAATTGCAATCATAAATTCATGGACTAGGGAATAAGAGCAATTGAACATAAAAGTTCTTCTGGTTAAACCTTGATAGGATCATGCTGTAATTAACTTCCTTTGGCAACAGTTTGGAAATATTTCCAGGGACAGTATCATGCTTAGAGTGAAACTGCAGTGCTGCTTGCCTGAGGTTAATTGTTCAGTGGAGGTCAATTGTTTGTGCTGTTACGTGGTGCTGCCAGCTGAAGAACTTTGCCAGTAAAGTTCATATGTTTCCTTTTTTTCTTTTGCTGCAGGGCAATTGTGTTTGTTGTGGATAGTGTAACATTCCAGCGGGAGATGAAAGATGTGGCAGAATTCCTGTACCAGATCCTGATTGACAACGTGGTGTTGAAAAATGCCCCTCCCCTCCTAATAGCATGCAACAAGCAAGGTATTGCATATTCACCGGAAACCATGTGGTGACCCTTAGCATGTTGGTTAGTTTTTTTTAGAGATCATTATTCTCTCATAATCTTTTTTTCATAAGATGTGGAATATTTGCATATGCTGCACTGAACGTTGCATCCAAAGGAACCCTTGATAGGGTAGGGCAGTGCAAAGCAGGAGGCTACAGAGAGCCAGAGCCTGTAACCCTCCACAGAGGCTTCTCTTTCTAGTGTTTCTAAGTTCCTGTTGTAATAACAGAGTGCTTTTATCTGTATTTCTTTGGATGATTGCAGCTCTGACTGGAGGTGACCATTGGTAGTCCACTGTTCAATATGCATAAATGTTTGTACAGCTGGATGAGGCTCCTGAATTGTCTCTTTGTAGTTGAAGCACATTCGGATGTGTGGGGGAGTGGTTGGTGTACATTTTATCTGTCTGTAGTTATGGTAGGCTATATAAATTGAGAGGAATCTGTACATGGAAGTGTGATGGGACCCTGTCCCAATTTCCGGAGCAGCATTGAAGGCCTTGCACCGAAGAGTTGTAATCTACAGCAAAGAAAACTAAGAATTGTTTCAGCACATGGATAATGACTGACTCTAGTTTCCAATGCTGAAGCTTTTTGCAGTGATGCCTAAACTAATAGATTGCCCAAATAGATTGCACAGTCTTCTGTTTAACACCTATAATGTGAAAATATTTTACTTCATTCATCCCTTAGATTTTACAATGGCAAAATCTTCCAAACTCATTCAGCAGCAGCTGGAAAGAGAACTGTAAGTTGAAAGAATAAGTTTATCAAATTTCATATTCTTGGATTTCTCCTGGTGATCCTGCCCATGTCTTCCAGCTCTTTCGTATTATTTCCATATGCTTCACAGTTGATTGGAATGAGGTGACAAAAAGGGAAGGAACACTGATCGAATCATTTGCCATGAGGCAGACTACTGGTAGTTCTGCCTGGTGAGAAGTGTTGCAGTTTAGTCAGATCAATGCTTCATCTGGCCTAGTATTGGTGACATGGACTAGCAGTGGCCCTCTAGTGTTTCAAGCAGGATTTCTTCCAGCCTGAACTGGAGGTGCTGGGGCTCATACCTGGAGCAGGTATTCTACCAGTGAGCTACAGACCCTAATTTTGAAGCATGAGGCAAGGAAGAGAGGATTGCTGAATGACAACGCAAGAATTGGTTTAAGTAGATCAGTTCCTGGATGTTAACTAATTCAGATTATCCTCACAGATTAATCAGATGCTTCAGAAACAGATTTTATAGTAATTTTTTTTTTAGTTTTGCAGCTGATTCATTACTACTGATTTCCTTCAGATGGCCAGCAGGGGTAGTAATTTAATATGTGTTGGGCATGGAGAAATCTGTATTAGCTCAGTTACACTTTGGCCACATGGTGCAGTTTGGTAATTTTTAATTGCAATTCTGAACTGTGCATTTTCATCTTGAATATAAGAGACTTTTAGCTCTGACCAGTGAGGATAGCAGCTTAAATGAGTGGAGAGGCTGTATACAGTTGAGAAACAAGAGCTTCCTAGGCTCACATGTCCATCTCCCCACAATTACACTGCATCTTCCTGCAATCCTTACCAATTCATTGTCTCACAGAATCAACTTTTACAAAAATCATTTTCATGCTATAATCTGTTGCATAATTCAGCTTGAAGGCATATGACATGTCTAGATTTTTTTAAAAATCTATATGTCAGTTTCATTCTGAGTAACTGCCCCTCTCACTTTCTAAATGAGAAAAACTAAAAACAGCACTTCGTTAAATGCTTCATGCTCTCTTACTATTTTAATTTACCTAGAATATTTATAAGATGCTGTTTATCTAAATTCAGGGCTCTGAATGATACATATAGAATATAATAAAATGTAGAATTCTAAACAATTGTATGTGACATTGCAAAATAGTTCCTTGTCTTTCTTGGATTTTTGTACTTACATGCTTAGATAACTTTTATGAATAAAAGTTGGAGGATAAAGCTGATTCTTAAAGCCAGTTCCTGCATCATTATAGTCTTATACTTAGCAGTACATCTACTGAAAGTATTACACAGGTGAAGCTGAGAGGACGCATTGGCATTTTTCCCATGCCTTTCCTTTTGTAAAATGCAGCTGGCTTCACTGATGAGTCAAGACTTTTGGATTGTATCAGTATCTTTTAGTAGCTTATATTTTATGTAACTATGGTTGCTATTTCTTCATTTCTATCAAGTTTTGACAGATTTCTGTGATCTAGTAAAGTAGGAAATCTCCTGAAGTAAGAATATCAAAACTTTTAGTTTAACCTGCATATATCTAAATGTGATATGAATTGCATACAATGTCAGTTTCTGATTTTGCACAGACTAGTTTTATTGTATCCTTTCTTTTCTAACAGCAATACCTTAAGAGTGACTGCCTCAGCTGCCCCAAGCACACTGGATAGTTCAAACTCTGGATCTGTCTCTCAGCTTGGAAAGAAGGGCAAGGAGTTTGACTTTTCCCAACTGCCCATGAAAGTTGAATTTATTGAATGCAGTGCAAAAGGAAGCAAAGGAGAGGAGGGCAGTGCAGATATTGAGGACTTAGAAAAATGGATAGGAAAAATTGCGTGATCTTTTTGAGGAGGAGGCAGTAGAGGCAGCCACTGGGAAAACAATATGAATTGGAATGGTACAAAAAATTTAGATTTCCAGGAACAGCCAAGAATGTGGGGGATGGCAAAGGATGCAGTAAGGTGCAGGAACAACAACAAGTTCATTCTTTATTCTGCTTCGGGTTGCATTCATTCTGGTATTCTCATTCTTGGTGAATACCTGCTTACTTGTTCATCTCATCTCATTTTCTTCTCCCTTCCATTGTCTGGGAAGTACTCAAGAATGAAGAATCAACTCTTGGGAAAGCTATGCACTACTAACCAGTGAGATGCCTCAGCAGGGGTTGACATTGTGTGTAATGGCTAGCATTGCTGTCTCCCTGTAAGTTGTGCTTCTTCTGTAAACTGTACCTGAATAATAGGCTGCAGTGAGATGCCTGGGAGAAGTTTTGAGGTTCTGTTTCCATGTACATTTTTCCAGTCAGGGAACGTGGCAATGATACAATGCACCACATATTGCTAGATTTATATTATGGCATTGGAAATATATTTCTTGTAGATGCTTCCCTATTCTGTGGCTTGATGCAAGAATCCCATTTTGTGCTTTATTTCTTTGGGATGTGTAAAAGTAATATTCCTGCATAAAGCTCGGGCAAAGAGAATGTTGACTAGGTGGTGATAACATCCTTTTCCATTCTGGATGAGCCACACTATGGTGGACTTGGGTTTCCCCGCAGTGCCTTAATTTAAGTTCTGTCAGTACCCCAAGTGTCATAAGAACTGACTTATTAGAAAGTACAACTGTCAGAATTGAACTTGACTATCAAATCAGATGCAACTACTCTAGTGCATACCTTAAACAATGTGCTTTGCTACACAGCCTAAGCTTTACAACAAAAAGGTGCTGCTTTGAATTTCTTCATCATGTCACAGACTCAACTTAGAACAACTTCATAAAATATGAAAGATGCTTGTCACATGTAAGTTGCATTTCCCAGTGGTGAACACTACTGCCTGGGTGAGAGATTTGTGTCTGCAGAAATATGATAGGTGCATGCCTGCAATAGCCTTATTTGGTTTCTGCTTTTGGACGCTTCCTTACTGACATGTCCACAGGTGCATGTCTATTCTTTCATTGAATTTGTAAAAGTATCTGTATATTGTGTGAAACAGCCATAAGGTTTTGCGTATATCCAGCCAGTCCATATTTGTGTTCACGTCTAGTGGCTTAGCCAGCTTTCTGTGATTTGCTCCAAATTGTGGACTGACTGAAAATTGGAATTATCCTTTTGCGAATATGTGTTGGGGCATTTTGGACATAAAGCAACATGATCCAACTGCTGAAATCTGTTTCTGCTCTGGAATGGTGTTGAGACGAAGTATTCTGCTCTGACGTGCAGTTTATGAGCTTCTTGCCAGGTCTGCACAACACTAGTGAAAGCTTGACCGTAATCATGGCTCAAGATGCAAGATGTTTTCCTGTATATATTGCATTCATGAGCTGTAAATATGTATGAGTTCATGTCCTTTTAAGTTATTATTTGCAGGTATCTATAAATAAAGATGTTTAACTAACTTTTGACTGGCATTTCTCAAATTTATCTTAAACACCCTTTATTGTCAATATTTCTACAAATGTAAGAGAGCCATTCATTTACACTTCTGGCTCAGAGTCATTTTCAAACAGCAGGATTTGTGCTTGTGAAAGGATCTTATTCCTCCTGCTAAAGAACATTGTACAGCTAGAAGAGGTGCTAACATTTCGAGTAACACATTTTTAGATACTTAACTGCCTACAGGAAAGAAGTAGCACTGCTGTTGTAGAGCCTTATTTTGCTATAGGGTTGGGATATTAATAGCTTATGCAATCTCAGTTACTAACATACAGTGCAGGGTTGGGCAACCTGCTTGGGCCACGGGTACATCCTGCAATTTGAGGAATGGACACACCACGAAGTTGGTGCTGTAGGAGGCATGACTTAAGACAAGTAGCCTGCACAAAACAGTATAAGCCAGAGGTGGGGTCTCAGCCCAACACACTAAGCAACTCTGTTGAAACCAGTTTTCAGACTCCTTTTTCACAACAATCCCAGCTGCCAGTAGCAATATGTGGGAATTTTTTAAAATTGGGAGAAGCACCTGGGGGGTGCCAAAAAAATACTCTCCTTTGTGTCCAGAAAAGTATCGGTGCTCATGGGCTCTTTGTTACCTACCTATACACAGTAAACTGGATCCTCAAAGGAATTTGCTGTTGGAGTAATTAGAGTTATGGCATTGGTTAACCAATATGAGATTCAATTGATTCAACCCTGTTGTCCAGTTTATGTAATCCATTTCAGTCAGCTCTATTTCCTTTTTAATATATTCATCCTTGGTTGCATCAGAATATCTTGGCTTCATCTCTCTTTTAACCCAGTTTGGATATCTAGTTACCTGGATATCTATTTGCATTATATGCATTCTGTTATTTCTGTTTTTTTGGAAGAGGTTTATGGTATAAAGTGGAGGGAGTAATAGGAAGCAATATTTATATGTGAACCCTCCAATTTTGAAATTCAAAGTAAAAAAAAATGTGCCCAGAACAGTCTCAGAAATGTGAGCATGGCTTTCAGAAATACATAGACAAGGAAATATTGTTTGCTTCCCTACTGGAGGCTTGTTTAGCTGGAGAAGTCATTTTTGATTACTAAGCATGCAGCAATGCTATGCATGTTTAAGCAAAAAAAAAATCTACAATTTGCAAGTCTTCCTTGACTAACATTACAGGATTGTGCCTTAAATTAGTGGTGTTGGGCCTTTGCACAGAGATAGAATAGTTTCTATTTTCAAAGAACTGAGCAGCTGCATGGCACGAAAGAGTGAAAACGGTCAGCACCGTGCCTAGTTCAAATGGATCTTGGGATGCTGATATTAAAGTTTTATTCTTTTGTTTTAATTTCTATGCCAACTTCTTTTAAAAAGTATGACCATTCCAGAGTAATTCCCATTTGTTTTGATGGAAGCTGCTATAAAGTTTCTGAGGAGGATATTACCCATAAAACCCAGTTGACTCTCTGAATGTAGAATAGAGCAGTAGTAGATTTGGAAGGAGCCTATCAAGTCCAGGACTCTGCTTTATTTCCACATGTGGTCACTCATCCAGCTGCAGGTCTGCGCCTTTCCAGCTTAGTAAAGTGACTAGACCTACTAGCTCGATGTACAGATATATCTGATTGCCTACAGTATCTCAAGGTAAGGTATTTTGCCATATGTTGCCATATTTTTAAAGAAGCACTTACCTTATTGGATTGATGCATTTTATCCAACATAGCTTTCATCTGAGCATCTGATTTATGCTTCTACTCCTTTATTTGAAATTTTACTGCATTTTATTGTTGTCTTTAATTGCTGGACAACCAGTGTGGTCTGCAAGCACAAGATGGACAAGAGTTCCATTTTTTTATATATACATGTGTGCACATGCATACACAAAATAATAGGGAATATCAAGAGCTACCAGCCATGATGACTCTTGTATTATCTCCAGAATCAGGAGTAGGAAGCCCCCTCAATGGTAGAAATAGAAGTAATGGCTGCACTCGTGTCCTACTTACGGCACTTCCCATAGTTGCCTCACTGGCCATTGTGAGAACAGAATGCTGAACTAGGAAACACAGTACAAATGATAACTAGTATATAAAAATTTATATGTAAGTCAACAACTGAGCGCAATATAAAATATGGTGGAAGCATAAAGAAAAGCATGAAACATCCATGCAATTGCTACTGTGGAAGCAGCTTTTCTGATCTGTTGTTGGCCATAGTTTCTTTCATAAGGGCATGGACAATAAATAATTGGTTTGAGAGCTAATGCCTTAATGGACTTGATGCCACTGGTAATAATTCTGAGGAAAATGAATAGTTTAGAACAGTGAAGAAATAGAAAATCACTGGATCTTTAATCCTAGCTCAAAAACATCGCTAATGGTGCTTGGAAGGGGAATGAACTAATAATTACTGTAATTTATGGCTAAGTTCAATTATAGCACAGATTCCATTGGAAATTACTCCCATGGTACTGTGCCACATCCCCATTTTTTGTCTCTGCTGTTTACAGCTGGTGCTTGTTCTCCTTGATTGCCAATTAGTTTGGTGAAGAGACCCTTCCCTGTGTGATCTTTGCAGATTGCTCAGGAGTGCACTATGTTAGCTATTTCTTGATGACTCTTCATCCCAGACTTCTATTACTTCGGCTTTAGTTCCGCCTTCTGGTTTAATCTCTTCAATTAATGCAAGTGGTGTGGAAGGGGAGGAGAGGAGGGAAGTTCCATTACACAGTGAGTATTTCTTGGTGTATTCTCCACTTTTGTAAATTACTGCATCGATGTTTTTATATGTGTCAAATCATTTATGACTTACAGTGAATCTACTGAAATGCACAACTCACAGTGTGAGAAGTTGTAGTCAGGGTAAATGATGTGTGGGCCTAAGGTGGTGGTAAGGGGAGGAGAAAAAAATACAAAGCAACTTTTTTCACCCTCCAGTGCTCCTTGGGAAAATACCATTAAAAACAAAAGGTCCATTTATCCACTGTCATTTTTTTCTGGCTCTGCTTTGCTCCACACTTTGGCTGGTTAGCACACCTTTAATCTGGATGTGGTGCAAGAAGACTTTTATAAATTGCCCTGGGATGCATTCACCTGTCATTGCAGGTGAGGATACAGCTCTTGTACTCTGTGTTTGCTGGGCCTTTTCATAACATACCTTCATAGTCCCTCCCATGGTTTCCAACCTTTTTGATGGTGCTTTTAGAGTGATGATTCATCGTGCTATTAGGTTTGGTATTAAATTTTAAATTGTGACAAATGAGAACAAATCCTCCTGGATTGCTACAAATCAGCTATACTGCACCTAGTGCCCGGTTAACAGCATATATAGAAAGGCAGAGAAATACAAACCCAGGTAGTAGAAAAGGATGGGGAAACAAACAATTGATGTAGGAGACACAGTTTTCCTCCTGCAGCAAAAACGAGTCGCAGTAAAGCAGTGGGTTAAACTCCGAGACTTCTCCCATTTTGTTTCAAGAGCAAAAATGTGTGAATGATGGACCACGAGGGCACAATAAATTCACCCTGTAGAGAACCCCCAAGCTGACACAATTGGAACGGTTTAGGGTAATGTTCCATGAGGGCTCCCAATGCGTAATAGGTGATTAGGCTAATGGGGCTTCTTTACCACCAGACTCCCAAGATACTCTTTGGGCAAACTGCACGGATGCTAACAGAATTAGCAATTGCAGGCATGATTTTTTAAAAAGTGAGCAGCTGTAGTGTTGGGTGTAGTGTTGATTGTGACTGTGGGATGCTGGGAAGAGAAAGATGGCTTTTCACGTGGTGTGGAGGCTTGGTGTGGAGGATCTGCTTTTTGTTGACAGAAAGACTCCACTCACAAAAGATGCTTCCACCTGATTTTTGGGCATCTCTCTCTCTGCATTCACAGCACTACTTGCATGCTAAGGAATGCTCCTGTTGTCTCTTTAATTCTTATCTGGTTACTTTCCTGAGAGCACACAAGAAAGATCAGTTTATCTGTGCCTCTGCTTTTAGCCATGCATAGAATGTGCAGATCACTGGTAAAGTACTTTTAATCTTGACTACTGAAAACTGCTGAGGGATCCAGGGGTATCAACTGGTCACATTCTCCCTGTCTCTCTCCTAGCAAAGGTCCACACTGCTGTTTCCATGATGATTATGTTGATAGGATTTCCAAGAATTCTGATTGATATGATTCAGCCAGAGTTTGTAATAGAGCCCCTTACTGCTTGTCTTGCCTCTGTATTAGGGCCACTTTATTTCTTTTAAAGTTGTCATTTCTGGAGTAAAATGCTTTGTTTGACTGGAAATGTCCCATTCCAATCCACTTTACTTATGTCAGGTACTCCAATGTTTAATCACTGCATTTCTTGCTTTATGGTTTACAGTTCTCCTTGAATCATATTTCTCACCTTCTGTGTTCCAGTTACATGTGTTACAGAACATCGGGTGTTCTTTTCACCTCTGTTCATGTCAGCCACCAGGCTTCCTTTCAGCTTTAATCTAGTTGTGCCATTAGCAACATCATTATCCACATTTGTCCTTTGCTCTTCCCTAGTAGCTCATTGAGTGCTTTCTGACATGCGAGACTTGACTTTTGGCAATATCTTGTTTTTTCAGATTGCTTCATCATAGGGTTTTCAAGGGAATAAATATTCAGAAGTGGTTTACAGCTGCTTTCTTCGGTACAGTGCTAGTCAGAGTTGAATGTCACTGCTTTGGTCTGCGAAAGATCTTCTGCCAGTGTCACCTTTAGTTACCACGGTTACCCAATAGCTGCCCCTCAAGAGTTTCTCTCTCCCTATCACCATTTGAGATATCCATTCTCTTCTCCTGGTGTGACTGTTACTGCTGAAGAGGATGGCTGCATCTTAATCTCAGCTCAGCTTTCTGAGTCTCAGCTTTGACTGTTCAGCCTTGGTCCACCCGGCTAGGAGACCAGCTTCGTGCGAGTCTGGCCTCCTGGGGGCAGTGCTCTTGGATTCTCTGATGCTCTCAAGCTCC